CTCGCCTCTCTATTTAACGTCCACGTGTCCGGCCATCCATTGCAGTTATGTTTTTACTTTTCGTCTTTCTCTCTTGGGTCTTGTAGGTCTTTCTGATTCCACCATGTAGGACAAACAGGAGGTGCCCATTAAACGTGTGACAAAGTGAACCTGTGCCCAGTCCAGGACACATCACTCAGCAGGCCTTCAACCATAGCCCCCGTGCCCAGCCACCAGGGGAAAGAAGTGTTTGGTCTGTAGAGAATGGAAGGCTCCTGAAGACCTGTGGGGGCCAGGCAGAGTGGGGGTATATCAAGAACCCCATATAAGACTCATAGACATCCACCAAGGTGCTGGTTCCTGGGGCAAGACTTCTGTCTCCAGCTGTTTATAGCTGGCCAAGGGTGAGGGCTGGGAGCACCATGCCTGAGAGTAGCTTTCTATGTGTCACCAAATCCCAATGCCCCCAAGGGAACCTCCTAGGTCCTTAGCCATACCCGGGGACGAGAAGGGCAGGTCAGGGGATGTGAACAAGAACAATGTCACCATGTACAATTGGGTGGGTGGGGCTTCTTCCCTCCAGTGTAGCGGCACCTCCCGCATCTGTGTCTCAAGTTAAGGAGTTTTTCCATCCCAGCCACTCTGCCAAGCTTATGATAAGAGTGGTTTGTGTGTATGTTTCTCCTTTCCGTGTCGGGAAAACTCAAATATTCCAGGCATATTTGTCAGCAGTTTTTACCTCTTAGCCAGAGGGGAGTCTCCAAGCCACAGCCACTTACATTCCAGCTCTGAGCCAGCTGCGGTGGCTGTCTGCCATTGTCGCTGCAGTGGGAAGCCATGGCTGGGGTTACGGCGGATCAGGGAGAGCAGAGTGGCGGGGAGACCTCGTGGGCTCCCCTGCCCTGCCCCAAGCGTCTCTGCCACCGTGTCTCCATCTCGTTTCTCTCCTTTCTGCTCCCTCTCCCCCTTCATTCTCTTTCTCTCTTGTCCTCTCCTCCCCCGTTACTCCCTTCCCACCCCCTCTCCCCCTCTCTCCTTCCCTGCCCCCCCCATCTCCCCCTCTCTCCTTCCTTTCCTCCCTCTGGCCTTCACTCACTCCACCTCTGTCTCACCCCCTCCCCTTTCTCTGGCGAAGGGTGCAGGCAAAGGACTCCCACTGCTGCAAATGACGGTAATTCTGAGCTTCCTAGGAAGATCAGCTGAAGTTACTTCAGGTCGTCCTGGCCCATCCCTTAACACCTCCCACCAGGGTTGCCTGATTAAGGATCCTTTGTGAAATGAAGGAAAAAGCAGCCAGAAAGCCCAGCCTTTACAAATCATCATTGAAGCAGTTTGAAAATGAACCTTAAAGGACCAGCTCGGCAACCCTTTGAGGCCTCCCCTGCTAAATAAAGGCAACCTATGAAAGCAAATGCAGTTTGGTAGGAGGGTGGCAGGGCCAAGGTGGAGGTCCGCTCTGTCCTGAGACTGGCTTCTCTGGCCCCGACGTGGGGTAGGAGGCCTGGTCCCATTACTATCCCTGTTAGCCGGCCTATGCTGGGCTACTCAGGTGTCCTCTACAGGACTTTTGCAGACTCTGCCTCAGTGTTCTCCAGCTTTAGCTTGTGTCAAAGTCACCAAGGAAACTCACCAACAATGTCGCATCCCGGGCACACCCTGACTGACAGGATTCTGGAGCTGCGTGGGGTTTTGACCCAGGACTCCAGGCCACAGAGAGGAAACTGAGCATCTGAGAAACAAGACTTGCAGCCCCTGCTACAGAAGGTAACACCAGGCCCTAGAGAGCAGACACTTCCAGCTGGAAGTGGGGAGGAGCTCCTGCAGCCTCCCAGGTAGGCCCCTCCCCCCCTTTTGTAGGTTTTTGCCATAGGGCACCTGTGCTGGCTGGAGAGACAGAGAGAGGGAAAAGGAGAAATCACCCTCCAGGGGCTGGCCACAGTGCAATCCCTTCTTCATTCTCCTCTCGGGATTTGGGGCACACATGCACAAGTGCCCAGTGTGATTCTCAAGCTGCTGGGTCCAGGACTTGAAGAATTTTCAGATATGGGGAAATCCAGCACCTTAAATACCATACCATCTGCTGGCTCCTTTTTTTGAGGTTTTTGCCATAGGGCACGTGCACTCACTGGAGAGAGAGAGGGAAAGTGAGAAATCACATAGCTGCACTGTAATCCTTTCTCCTCCAGTCCCCTCTCAGGATTTTAGAAATGTGCACACACATGCCTGATTTTCAAGCTGCTGGGTCCAGGGCTCAAATTGCGTCAGCCATGTGTAAGTCCAGCACCTCAACAACCACCCGCCTGCTCACCGCGTTAGGCCCCCTTTTATCAGAACAGAGCCAGCTTTTTTTTTTTTTTCTTTTTCTTTTTTTTAATAATTAGTCTGCTTACTGTGATTTTTCAAGCCATTGGGTTTGAGATGCAAACTGTGGTCAGCCATGTGGAAATCCAGCACCCTAACCACAGTGCCACCTGCTGGTCCGAGCCAGCCTCTTCTAAGAGGACGCTGGCCAGGAACATGAAGGCCGAACACACTCTTCCCAGATAGGAAACTGATCTGCGTCCCTGCCTCAGCTGAGACAGGATGGTGTGTCTCTACCCACCTGCCAGGCAGAGGTGGGGAGGCTGTGCAAGGCTAACATGGTGTTTCAGGTACTTTATGAAATATCTCATCGATTCCTACTCATAACTTTCCTCTATATGCACAGGCACCCAAAAGTCAGATCTGCAAAATCCCAGTCAGACTTGACCTAAAGCCTGTGTTTGGCTGCCTGAGAGGAAGCCCAAGTTCCTTAGTGTGGCCACGAGGTCCTTTGGAGACTGGTTCCTCCCTGCCCGTGATACCAACTTCCATTTCGACTTGCCCAGCACAGGCAGACTGGAGTTCCCCCTCGCCATGCCTTCTTGTCTCCTGTTCATCCTACTCCTGAGGTTGTTCTCTGACACGCTTCCTTGTGGTGACGGTGACTTGGCGCCACATTTGCCCTGTGCATTCCTGTCATTGCGCCTACCCCATGATGCTGAAATCACCGGCTGGCATGCCTTGGTCACCTCCGCAGTCCCAGCACCCGGAATGGCACCTGGCCTGTGGCATTCCTCAGCACTCTTCTCATTCAAAGTGTTAGGCTCTACAGAGATGGACACTGGGCGGTCTGCGGGCACGTGAGGGTGAGGCTCTTACAGGCTGGGCAGGGCACGAGCCTCAGGCCGGCGCCTCCCTCCCTGCTGGGGGGGGATCGAAGTG